AATTAAGGTTAACAATAGAAATTTTGAATCTTTGAACAAGAATTGTAATAAATTGTAAATGATATTATGTGATAAGACTTGCACTAAAAGTAGAGCATCTACTCAAAAATATGGTCTAATGAATTATCAAAGTTTGATCAAAAATGCCCGAATACTCATAATGGTACAGACTAACCCAATTACATTTATGTAAATAAGCTAGAACAATATAATACTACATTTCAACTATCATTCTTATTTGTGAATCAAATATTGAACGATTGCTCCTATGCCATCATATTAAAAGACAAATAAAGGCTATATATGAATAAACAACTATATAAGGTAATAATATGATATAATAATATGTATAAAAAAATTAGAAAATAACTAATGCTTAGGCAAGAAATAAGTAATACAAATAAAAGAATACAGAAATACAAGTGAAAGCTTAAAATGATCAGGTGTGTACGATGATTGTAAATTTTGATATTGATCTGTGTAGTATAATTAATATTGTATTGATAGTATAATAATATATATTTTTTTTTAATATAAGTTTTTAATTTTTTTAGGTGAATTCTTAGCTCAACAGTATAGTAAAAAAACAAAATGATATCGATGGGTAAGAGCTGCTTAAATTAAAAGTTATAGCAATTTTCACTTTACAACATGCTGGCAAATTGATGAATTGTTATAATTGGCTAATTTCGAGATTCTATTTTAACAATATAGATAATTGATTATATAGACCAATCTATTTTTAAATATGAAATGTCTATGTAAGTATTTTTAATTTCATATCTGAAATCAACTGGGTTTTGTATAGTTGAAATATTCAATAAAATAAAAAGTTTATATAGTAAAAAGAGACTCCTTTTCTATCCAAATTACCATCTTCGAACAGTATTTTGTGATAACGATTTATAGATAAACATAGGCAGTTTAGAGCATAATTTTTTAATTGCATATTTTTGAGATAGTTATTTTTTTTAAATTTTAATAGGAAGTGATATTGCTTTAAAAGATCTTGAAGATACAATAGTGATAGTTTAAATTTTTAGCTTAAGATGGTAATTATCAATTATATAAGTTTTTTTTTCTTTAATGTTTATTAATTCAAATTTAAATTTATTTAAAAGTAATTATTTTTTATTACAAACTTGCTTTCAACAATGATTATGATAATCGTTATAAGAATAATTATTAGGATAGTGATTATTATTATCATTATTATTACTATTATTTGTTAATAATAATGAATGCTTTTATATAAGCATAGCATAATTGTAATAATACTTGTTTTATTGCTAAAAATAATGAGTTGATTTTTTATAAATGATCTGAATTTGTGAATTCAGAGAGTAATTTAACTAGGATTTTATAAATAATATTCATGATATAAGTATCGACAAAAGAAAACCTGACAATTTAAATATAACCTACAGTACATCCCCTCAAAACTAATACTGTCAAAACTAATAACCTGCTATAACTGATAAAAAATTAATCTGCCATATCTGTTCTATAATTAAAACCTAATAACCTACTATTTTGATAACTGATACCCTATAAGATATTAGGTTTGACAAGTAATATAAATCGATTTGATTGGCTAAGATCAGTTTTGTATAACAGATTATATATATGAGAAATATAATCTAGCTAATTACATTAATTTGTAATCATGTGATAGCAGGCTATAATCAATTTTTAAATTTGATAATTTCTTAAAACTGATACAAAAGCTGTCTATCATGCATATTAGATTTGAGAGAGTGTACTGTATATTTAAATTGTCAGGTTTTCTTTTGGCAACACTTATATATTAACACAATTTTCTTATTTAATCTATGCGAAACTAATATGAATATAAAGATGAATATAAAATAATCTTATAAACAAAAATATGAGAAAATAGCCATCACATTATATCAATTCCAATAAATGCTAAAAAATATTTATTTAAAATTTATTATTTCTCCAACCTGCTTAATTAAAATTCTAAAATATTTATTTAAAATTCATTATTCTCCACAACCTGTTTAATTAAAATTCGAAATTTATCTAAGTTCACAAAATCAATGCCACCTACATTATATACACATTTATATATATATGGGGTGTAGAGTTAATAGAAAAGGGACAAATCATTTTTAGTAAAATTTTTTAATTTTTAAATTAAAATATTTTAATAACTAATTAACCAAATTTGCTCAAAATTTTTTTATTTAATTTTGAAATTATAAAGAATTAAAATAAAAAAATAATAATTAAATTTGATAAGATAATTGCTGAGATATTTAAGCTTAAAGTCAAGAAAACTTTTACTTAGAAAAATTTATCTCTTTTCTATTGACTCCACCCCATATATCTTCGTATGCTTCATTTTCATATTTCAACTATTCAACTTGCCTGTATATTGAAAACAAAAAATTACTAATATTTTGAATAAAAAATAGGCAGTGAAATAAGAGCAAATTACTGGTAAAGAACTTAATATATATACTTATATATGTTTGAATTTGGTAGTACTATCTGGTCTTAATATTAGATTTGATAAGCTTTAGTCATTACTTGGAAAGGATGGGTCAAGAAAATTGATAATTGTGAAGGCTTAGTTGTTATAATGAAATTGAAAGGATGCAAAATTAAATGAGTGTTGTTAAAAGAAAACCTGAAAATTTAAATGATATTTAAATTTTTGGGTTTTCTTTTAGTAACACATGTTTAATTTTTTTATTACGTATATAGTAATCCTGCCCAGATACTAGTAACCTAGGTTGTGCCTATATTATATAAAATTATAAAGACCGTGAACATTGGGATTTCAGCTTTACATAAAAGCTAACTTTATTATTAGGTATTTATATATTGGTTTGTCTTTTATTATTAGTGATATAAGGTTCTATTCAAATCTAATTGGATGTTTATTTATTCTAGAAATGGATAGAACCTTTTTTGTGCAATCTAAATAAATTTGGATCAACTTAAGTAAATTCAATAATATATAAAAGTAACTTTTTCTAAAATATACAAAGTTCTAGAATTTCATAACTATAAAGATGAAACCTTATTTGATATGCTGTCAAGTTTTGATAAAACTTGTTCACAAGTTTAAAAAGTTTTATTAGAGGCGTAATTTTGTTATATTATATAAATTTTATTGCACTATGTAAATCATATAAAAAATGATCTACATACACCCTATCCTTAAATTAAATAAAAACTAATAAAAACATTTTCATACTTACAAAATATAGTTAAATGCATTGCATAGTTTAAAAATTTTTTTTAAACCAAAAAAATACCCTAAATCATATCTTATTAAAAAAATAAAATAATAATAGCACTTTTACATGTAATATTTTCTATGTATATTTTATTTCATTTTTGTTATATCTACAATTTACAAATTAGACGAATAAACCTATAAAACACAAAACAGTTGATGAAGTACAAGGTGAAAAGTTTTATTCTACAAATGTATCTATGTACATATATACAATAAGTAAATGATCTATTTGATATAATTTAAATAGTGCTAATCACTATAGCTAATTACTTGATAATAACTGGCTTTTATTCAAGATGTGCTATAAAAAGAAAATATTATATTATCATTATTATAAAGTTTAACTAATAAGACACATAAGTGATAAATATAAAGTTTACTATTTTTAGCATATAAATTCAAATAAAGTTTAATAACAATGCATACATTGAATTATGGAATCAAAAGTTGATTTAACTTGTTGAATCTTATAAATACAACTAAATACAATAAAAAAGTTCTGATTTTATAAAATTTTTATATAAAAATCATCTCTGTTTTAGTTTAAAAAGAAATGCAGCAGATCACACGTAAAATTACTACCAATTAATAAGATACCTAATGCTAATTGTAAACTTTATTAAAAAAGATCTGCTAAATGCTAACAAAGTAAGATTAGAAGGAGTTAATGTAGCTTAGAAACTACCTCTAGATTTTTACTCTAATCAATTTATTTTTTTATTTTTTTTTTAAGAGAGGTCTTTCCTCTATTCATTTTATTATTATTAATATGTTTTAAACTACAAAGTAGGAATACATATTATATATAGTGAAAAGAAGTTAGAGCTATCTATGTTAGAATTTACTCACAACCTATTCTTAGCTAGAAGAGTCTGACCTCTAGACTATGTAATGTAATTGTGTACTATTGTGATTGACCAAATTTTTTATCTATATGTTTTCGTTAGTTGTTGTCGAATGAACTTCGTGTGTTACTAGCTCAACTAGTGGAGAGTTTGAATGCGATATATTATTGTTTGTTACCATATGGCTCGGTATTCAAATTTCTTTGTATATCTTCTTGATTATTTTATGATAAATTTTTGCCATTTTATCTATTTGTTGTTCATTGTTTTCAAATGGTGGTAGAGTTTTCTTGTAAATGATTCCAAGTAGTATTTGTTGTGATATATTAATATCTATAAATTCATACTTGACAAGTTATTTTTGATACTGAATTTCTCTATTTTTGAGCCAGAATATCATTTATCGAAACTGTATTTTGGCTGCATGATAAGACATGTGGGATTTTCACTATATCATTGTTGTATCGCTTGCACTTGGGATTTGGGTATTTGTTCTGATTTCTCAAATATAACATTTGTTGAGTTGAAAGTTCATTAGTTACTAATTTCACTTTGAAAGTTTTTAATTTTGTATCTTTTGGTTGAGTCCTTCGATCACGTGGTTTATTGTTGTAGTTAATTTGTGTGAAGGTTTCTACCCAAAGTATATCCTGTATTTTCCAATTTAATCTTATTATTCTATCTTGATAAAACCATTTAAGTCTAATTGATTTTGTATTATGAGTTTTGAAAGATTATGAATTGAGTAGATTCTATATTTGTTTCAGACATGTGGGATGAATAAGGATTGTATAATTGGGCTAAGGTCCAATTCAAGATTCAATTCTAATATTTCTACATTTGGCAAGTTTGCTATCTGCTGTGTTAATGTCATAGATACTTTAATATATTTTGCTGATATTATTGCTGCTATAATTCTTAGCAGCCAGTTGTAGTTCATTTTCTGACTTTGGTTTGGATTCAACAGTTGAGATGCCAATGCTGGGTTGTTGACTAGCTAGGCAATGTTTGTGTCAATGATTAGATGAGAGCCCCAAGGTATAGTTGTAAGTATTATTATTATTAACGACAGTGTTGCTGCTGTTAAGGAAGGCCAGTAGGTGTTAGTAACTTTCCATGTCTTTTGTAATCCAGAAAAATTTACTGAGGCTGTAGAAATAACTTGGGAATTAGTGTAATCTAGTCGTTAAAAGATGTAGACTTTTACTGTATTTGAAAATTTCATTGACAAGAAAAGCTCCCAAACCATCTTTTAGTGGTTTGTAAATATTTGGGTGAAGCGAAAGGAGGTTTATATTTCCAGCTTGTCAGTGTTTGTTGTTGTATTTTTGTTGTCATTAGGTGTTTGGTTTTTGTAAGCAGACTAGGTAAGTGTGCATGTAGCAAAAATTTTTTGTCTACTTGTATTACAGTTAGACTGTTGATAGGTTTATAGAATGTACAACAGACCCTGTTCAGTTTAGCTTCATTTTAAAGGCATCCTTTATATTTGCTTAGTGTGAGATTGTTATGATTTAATTTATAATACTGGATTTTGGCCTGAAGATTATTGAAGCTTGAAATTTTTCTAAAATATTAGTTCTTTGTCATTACTCAGCTTTTTTTCTTGGGATGTAACTTATTTGAAATGAATAGGTTAGGTCTAACTAACTTAGCTACGATTGTGGCGTGTTGAGCCAGAACTAATTGTATTTTGTTAAACTACCTTAAAATTTTACCGCAAGATATTTTTGCTATATTATGGTACAATTCCCTCCAAGCTACTAATTGGTTATTGTGAATGTTAAAAAATTGTTCTATATAACCAATTTCATGTTTATTCAATAATTTTTTTATGTGTTGCTCTTTCCCTTTTGGTCATTCACTATTAGCCATGGATTCTCTAATCGTGAGAGGCTAATATGTAGGTCATGTATAGACAGGATTATTTGTGCTGTGTGGGTTTTATCATCTAGTATAGGAAATATAGGTTTTTCTATCAAGATAAATTCATTTGTATTGGCTGCTTGTTGTAACTGTTGCAATCTTATCTTTATAGATGACATATCAAAAATTGCTTGAATTAATAGCCTAGTCAAGCATCTGAATATTTTGTTGGTATTGAACTTGGGTGAGTATTTTAAGTGAATATGTATCTGGGTTGTGCAGAGTGGAATTCAGTATTGACCTTGCAAGCTTGGCTTTTTGCTTTACTAGATTAGTGTATATGTTGGTTATATTTGTTTTCTGCGAATTATTCAAATAGATACTTTGAAGCTAGTAAGAGGTTCTAGCTAAGATTACATTGTTGATTATATAGATAGCTTGTTTAGGCATAATATTCGCTAGTTTCAGTTTGTTTATGTCAAATATAATGTCGTTCATTATCTGCTTATGAACAGACCTTTGTGATGGCTCCAGGAAGAAATAAGCACCCAAATGATGGAAGGTGATGTTTCTTTTTATATTGTCAATTTTATTTCCTATAAAAATAATACTGGCATTGTGCAATTTATTGTTTGTAATCAAGGTCAATTTGCTAGGATTGACTTTAATATTCGCAAAATTTAAGAATAATTCTGTAATGTCAAGTATTTGTTGGAGTTTGCTTTTATTAGTGGCAATCCACACCATATTATCCATGTAAGCTGTTACGGCTGTCTTGAATTGGTAGGTCCGATTTTGGGTTGTAGTTTGCATTGTATAACCTTGGATTTAATTGCTTACTCTTGCTATTAGGGTCATAATATATTCTCCACAGAATTGGTAAAATCATTTTCTCTTGGTCTATGCCATCTTGCATCTTATATGGCTGTGTTAGGCCAATATTTATAATAACTTGGTTTTGCTGATTTTTAAAGATAGAACCAAGGAGATTGATTATTATTTCTGGTATATGTATCCTTTGTAGTACAAGTTTCAGCAATAGTAAATAGATGGAATCATATGCCTTTGACATATCTTGTGTGAAAATCCAATATAGTTTGTTGTATGTTTTGCTGTTCTCCAAAATGTAGGCAATAGTTAGTATGGGTTCTAGTGTTAATGTGAATAGTAGTGCTACATTGTTATTAGGTGAGAGAATATCACTGTGAACTAGGATTGAATTTAGCCTTTTGGTTATTATTTTTGTGAGAATTTTTCTTGTATGTTTGATCAATGTGATGGGTTGTTGAAATTCGAAATTGTATTGAGTTTCTTAGATATTGGCCAAATATTTGCTCTGGCCTACTGGGAAAGAATAATTTGAAGTGAGAGATATGTGTTGAAAATTTTTGTAAGTATTTTAGTTCCATCAATTCCCAGGTGTTGCAGCATTTCATTAAATATTCCTGTGGGACCAGATGCCTGATTTGGGAAAGCTATCTTTATGGCTTCCTCCACCTCAACTTGTATAATAACTTGTACGGGCTTGGTATATATTAGAGAAAATGCTGTCTATAGGTTTGTATATGTCTTTCCATTCCTTTCAAAAATCATTGTTTGTAGAGTTCTTTCAAGTCCAATTCTGGAAGTGTTGTTGTGTTGTGAGTTTAATTAAATAAGGCTCTGTTATGACTTCATTAGGGATAATTACTTTTTCGAATTTTACTCATTTAGTTCGTCTCTTTAAGATGCTATCTATCATTCTAGTAGTATTGTTCTGTATATCTTGATGGCGTCGATTTATAAAGTATTGAATCTGGTCTTTTTGCGATTGTATGCTTTCATTTTTCTGCAGGAGTCATATTGTTTTGATTTCATCCTTTAAGTATTTTATCGTATCTTTGATTAGGTGTGCCTTTTCTAACGGCAATGGAACAATTGACTGGGGTAAGTATTTTGATGCCTGCTATATCTTGTCATTCAATATGTCTGTTATAAATTCTAGTGAGGTCAGTATGCTCATATTTTTGATAAAGAATATTGTGCTATTAAGGCTTTTCAATGCCAAATATAGTTTTGTTTCTCTGAAGGAATGGCAGTGAACTTTATGTGGTAAGCTTCGAGTTATTGGTATGATAGTATTCACCATTTCTAATATAATATTTGAGAAACTATTCCAAAATTTGTTAAGTTGCTGCTGATTCGTAATTGTGATATCTGCCAGACTAAGCTTTATTTTTGTACTGATCAATTCAGAAAAGTTTGTCTATTCTTTAGCCAACATTTGGTTATATAGATATATCTTCCTTTTCTGCTTCTTGGATCTATGCTTTGTAATCTCGATATTGGTGTGCCAAGTAGTTGTTAGTATCATATAGTCTCTTTTAGTAATTCCTGCGAGACTTATAATTTGAGGTGGCTCTAATATTACGATTTCTTCTGCATTTATCTATATGTCATCTATTTGACTTTTTTGATTGCCACAGCTTCACATTGGGGTTTTGATAGAATAGAAGTTAAGTGGGCTGATTATTGATGCTGTGCTTAGAAAACTAAAAATTGAATTTTAAGATTTATTTCTATTTAGATTATCATTTAGATCACCAAGTGCTATCACGTTTCACTGCTTGCTTCTTGCTTGTGTAACCAGCTTGTAATTATATTTTGAGTCGCCTTAGCTAGTTGAGAGTGGTTAGAGGGTAAGTATATCGAAATTAGACAGAGTTTAGTATTTGCTAGAAGAAAGAGATCTAGGCATAGAGCCATTCCTGGATATTGTTGAATATTGTGAATATAAGATTGTAATTGGGGATACAAGGTAATTGCTATTTCAAGGCTAGCTTCTTGTGGTGTAGATGTTGTTGGTAAGTGGTTAGTCGTATAGATTTTGTAAAGGGGATTTGATAATACAAACGAATTTTTATTCTTCAACTTTGTTTCTGTCATGTATATTGTATGATATTTTTTCTGAGCACAGTTTTCTAAAAATAGTTTGAACTTCAAATTATCATTAAGTCCTTGTATATTATGTGTGACAATATTTAGGTAGTTCTTAATATCTATATTAAAGTTATCTTAAGATGCAGTATTGTTTGTTGGAGATAGTATTGAATCTGGTAAGTTTGCAGATAGATGATGGTCTTGTTGCTTTTCTATATCACTTATGAGTTGGGAGAATAATTGCTAAATATGTCCCATTGAGGTTCCGGTAGATCAGGTATAATAATTAAAAAGGGTGGTATGTCTGAAAAATTGAAATGTTCTTGGAGGAAGTTAATAGTACATTCAATTTTGTCTTGTTCAGTAATAGGTAGAACAAAGAATAGTAGTAAAGTGGCGTTCTTAAGATGTAGGAGGATTTCTTCTATGGAGGTAGATAAAAGTGGAGCTCTAGGTTCAGCGTTTGACCCTGAGATAATCTGTATCCAACTGTCTAGTATTTAATGGAAATAGTAGAATTTACCAAGTTACAGGCTGTGCTGACCAGTTGTTTGGGGCTTGTTATAAGAATGGTAAGATGCATTAATTTGATATTTTTGTGATTTACAAGTAATAGAGGTTTGTCGGTTGGGTTTGGAGAGATAATGGAATATTGAATTTATAGTTACTATGTAACTTAGTGACAAATAGTTTGGCAACATAGAGATCTGTAATGGGGAAACTATAGGCTCCTTGTGTTCTACTTGTAAGAGGTCCATTGGCAAGGGTTTTTTTTACACAAAGTAGTCATTAGGTAATCTTCTAAAACTGTAGTGTTTCCTGAGTATTTTTATCAGGTTGCGGAATTCAGTGTTGTCGCGAGGATTGCATAGAAAGAGACTCTTTGTCGTAGAGTTAAGGTTTTGGGGTATATAAGTCAATGGGGTTTAGCAGGAGGTAAGTCAAAATAAGCTGGTGGTATTCACTAAACGTCATAGTACTTTATTAGCTTCTGTCTGTATTGCACTAAATAAGGGAGTCTGGATCTTTTCGTTATGGGGAAGAGATTTTTTACTTCCAGATTTAATTGGAATGGGTCATCAGGTAGTTCTTCCAGTAGGTTTTTCAAAGTAATCAATAGGAAGTTTTTGGAAATTAAAAACCTTCCTTAGGGCTAGCACTGTTGCTCTAGTTAGTTTTCTATCTTGTATTGGAATTAGAAAGGGTAATATCTCTACGATAGAGCTTGGTATATCGCTGGGATGCTTTGGTAGTGGAGCTAGTGATATCGTATATGCTGTCTCAATTTGCCTTCTCATATCTTCGAAATGTGGGGTATGTGATTTTGGCAAAGTTAATTGTATAGAATATAAAGCAGGTATATTCATAGAGACTTGTAGTAAGAAAATCGATGTTGCAAATAAAGTCAATAGCTAATTTTTGTAAAAATTTGGTCTCTATTTGTTTTGTTTATAAATATTGCCTTGTGTATTCGCTTGTATTTCTCAAGAGCTATCTAAAATAAGGAATTGAATTCCTTTTGGTGCACTGGTTGTAAATCTTTTCCTTTGGCAAAAGATCAGAAAAAGGCTGTGTCTAAGTGAATAAATTTTTGATTGATTCTTGAGGAATATTATAGGTAGTTGGGCATGTTTTAATTTTATGTTTGAAAAATTCAAGAAGTTCATTTTTTGACTTAAAGGCTTTCAAAATTTTGTTGATATGCTTATACATGTTGGCAAAATCCTAACTTACTATAGTTTGGGATTTGTCCACCATCCCAAATCCCAAATTCTAGTATAACTAATATCTCAAAAACTTTATTAATAATCTTTATTTAAACAAATTATATATATTCTTATAGTTATAAATAATATATTTACAAAATATTAAGATTATTTATTTGATTTAATCTTTTATAAATAGCAATTGTTTTTTTATTATTTAGAATTTGTCCGGGTTTTGCCAACAAGTATAGATATGCTAGCTTTGACTGTTGAACTCCAGTTGCCACATTTTGGCTAACTTCTTAGTAACTATATTAAACTACACTAATGAGACGTCATCTTTTTTCTTGTTAGAAGTGAATATATTTTTTTTAACCGCTTTGCTGTATGAGATCCTAGAGAGGGACTCAATGGTGGTATTGGATCTTGTGTCCATATCTTTGTCATCAGTTTGTTTGATGTTGATCGGGTGCCCATTTGGCTGCAGGGTTAGTTCTGGGGCCTTCCCCAATTGTTGTATTTCTATAATGGTACTGCTATTATCAGTTGACAAATAAATCTGCCGATCAGCGTGTGAATTAGTGTTGCCTTTTCCCACGTTTGTTGTGTTAGTTTCCGGTAATGATGTCATTGACTCTTGTACCAGAGATGCAACGTTTTCTTTTGGTTTGTTGAGATTTATTGTCATAGTTGATAGATGAGTAAGAGTTACTTGTGGATCATCGATTAGGGCAGTATCATTCTCAGTAGTCCTAGTTTTCTTTGTTGGCCATGATATTTCCATATTATCGATAGAAGTTGTCAGCATGTTTTCGCCTGACTTCTGTAGGGGGTCCATCAGACAAAAGGGTGTGGACTAAGATAGAAGGAGGAAATTGAAGCTTTGGGGAGTTGTAAAGCTTTGGTACCTAGTTTGTTTTAGTATGATTGCTTTTTTAGATGTTATTTAACTTCTAGGTATATGAAAGAGAACTTTAATTAAGCATGCCACTTAATTAATACTTTGCTGTTTTGCAGTTGTGTTTACAATTTTTTGTTTTTAGAAGTAAATAGAAAAGAGTTCCTCTAATCAATTTATTCAGATTATTTAGTTTAATTTTTTTAAAAAAATCAAAGAATTAACAAAGATCTGTAGCACTGAGTATGTATAAAAATATAAAAAAAATTCATATATACTAGTTTAAATTTTTTTTTAATAAAATTACAAAATCAGCAAGTTAAACTAACAATAGCTATATACATAAGGCCATACAAAGTAAATTTTTCATTTAATATTATATAGAATCTAAAAATTAGATCAGTAGATCAATTTTTTTTAAATCTACTTTAAATTAATAGAATTGTGTTCATATTTTAAAGTTATACAAAGTTCTTTTTTTTGTATAACAAGAAATTAGAAAATTGGGTTGGCTGTTATTTTTTCTGTCAGTCCTATTGGATAATTTTAGGATATTGAGTATCTTATCAGGTGATACTAGATAAAAACTGCAGAAAAAATAAATAGTAAAAATCGAATATTTAATACAATTGTGATGTAAAAAATATATATATATTTTCAAAAAATTAAAAAAATAGGTTAGCAGGTAATATTAAATGAAAAATTAACTTTGCATGGCCTAATAGATAAATTATTAACAATTTATTAGATATTGCACCAAAAAAGTTTTTTATTATATATAAGCATTAGAAAAAATTGTAAAAATTTACTATTAGCAAATACCTATATATCTGTTATATAATGCCAGATAAAAAGAGATTATTTCTATCCAAATTATTTTTTTTTAAAAAAATACTTTTTTCCCTTATTTCTTTATAGTTATTAGTTTATAGTATTATTGTTATTGGGTAAAATTGACAATCCTTAACAAAAGTATTATATATATTTTTTAAACTTTGAATATATATCAATTTGTTGCTCTTAAACTATCAATGAATTTTCTTTCTTATATTATATAGTGTTAGGAACTAAGTGAATTTCCATTTAATATTACCAAACTCTGGAGCTGCAGATTTTGCTTTATTATTGTAGTTTCATTATATAGAGAATAATTTAAACATAAAAATTAGAAACAAGTTAATGATATTCTATTTTACAGGTCTATTTTATCTGATTTGGTTATGCATTATGCAGTATAATCTTCTTTACTATTTTTGGTTATATAGTGTGCTTTTTTTTACTATTTATTGTATTTTGTACTGCCTTTGTGCATATGATTAGCAGCCAAAATTTTCTCTTAATCCATAAAAAGAAATTTTTACACCTACTATTTTTATATATTTTAATATTAATATTAATGGCTATCTGTTTCACATTTGTACTAAATTTAGTATAGTAAAAAAATATTTTTTAAGCCAAACATTTAATAAATTTTATTCAAATTTTACCAAAATAAAATTTGATATTAGACTAAAATTTGAATAATATTTATTAATAAAAACTTTGTATAAATTAGTTTTAAAGTTGTTGTATTTTTTTGAAAATTTCCCATACTTAATTAAGTTCAGCAATAAAAATTAATTTTTGCTAAAGATTATAAAAATATAAAATTTTTAAATTATTTTAGTTCTAATTTAGTTATAAAAAAAATATTTTATTTAAAAAATAGTTTTTTAAAATAGTTTATATAAGCCTGTTTTAAGGTAATACAAGCCTAAATATAGTAAGTTAATTTCTATATTTGATATAGTAAATCATATGTTTTTATTAATAATTTTATAAAAAAATTGCTAAACTTAAATTTTGTATAACTTTTTATTTACCAATTTAATTTTAATGATTTTACTTTTATTAAAATTAGAAAAACTAGATCTACAACATCTTCAAATTTAAAAAAAATAAAAATTTTATTATTTATTTTTTTTAAAAAATTTCAGTATTAAAAAATATATGTAATTATTATTCTATTATATTACATTAGTATTAGTGCTTTGTTCACTACTATAACTTTTTTTAAACATAATAACTTTAGATAAAATTTTACAAACTTTTTTGTAATTGTTATATCATGTTACTTGTATAGTAGCACAAAGCAACACTTAATTTTAATTAGTTAAATTTAAAAAAAAACTAAAAATTTTTAGATTTTTATTAATTTATTTTAAAATATTAAACAAATTTAAATTTTTTTTAAAAAATATTAAATTAAAAAAGAGCATTATTTTTTGGTGCACCCTGCACCATGTGCACCCTTTGCAATAATTTTGCTATAACTCAAAATTTTACTAGGGTAATTCCTGTTATGTAACTAAAAATAAATGATTCTCTCACAATTTTACCTAACCCAAACTCTAATCTTAAACACTAACACTAACCCTAACACTAATCCTAACCTAACCCTAATTATTTTTAGATTTATATTTTTCATAGTTTTCATAGGGGGGCACACAGTGCACCCTGCACCAAATAAATATTTCTATTAAAAAATTATAAAAACTTTTTTGAAAATATGTTTTATATATATTCAGATATTATATATATATTTTTGATTGCTTATTAATATATAAAAATTTGAGCTATTATATTTAATTGAAATATATTAAATAGATATTATATTTAATAAATTACCAATACTCAAAAATTTTTTTAATCTTGCTAATATAACTTTTGTTAAATTAGCCAACTTTTAAATAAACCAAAATAAAATATAAAATTTTATTTATATATTATATAAATTTAATTTAAAGTTAATAAAAAAATTTTTTAAAATTTAAATTTTATGACTGTACTAAATTTAGTATTTTGTACTAAATTTAATACAGCAAACAGATAGCTATTAATATTATAATATAATATATATAGCTAATAAATAGCAATTAATATTATAATATGATATGAATTAATACAATACTAGCAGAAAAGAAAGAAGAAAAAATAAAAAAAATTTGAATCGTTTAAAGACAACTAAATTAATTCTGTAAAAAAACATTCTTTTTGTATGTTTATTATTAATACTTTCTGAGTTTTTTGATTTTTAAAATTTTTTTTGATATTTTGCCAGTATAATTGTTTGATAATCAGTGATTATCAAAGGCTATAACAAAAAATTATAAAGAAAGAATTTAATTTTTTATTATTTTTTTTTTAACAATTGCTATTAGTTATTTAGTATAAATAAATAAAAATAATAATAATAATTTTTTTTTTATAAAAATAAATAAATAAATAAAAATAATAATAAAGTATATACTATATTGAATATTCTCTATATATTAATATTATCTTTAACTGTTATTGTTGCTGAAGAATAGTTCTAATTGGTTGGCCCAATTATAGCCTATAGCTTATAAATACTATATTCCTCCGAAAATAAGCATCCTCCGAAAGTAAACACCCCTACAATTTATATATACCCGAAAATAAGCACCTTCTATATAATAAAAATAAGTAACTAAATATCAAATCATTTAAATTATTGGTTGAGTTTATACCCGAAAATAAGCACCCTTATAGCAAAAAAGAGGTGCTTATTTTCAGAGGAATACGGTATTATGTATACTAAGCCCTAATGTGTGTTTATTTTAATTCTGTTAGCATAATAATACCATGACATTTAACTAACATTTAATTGGTTGCAAATGTATATTACCATTTTTGTATAATATCAGATGATAACTGTACCAAAAACAATTACTAAAATAAATTTCTATTGTATTGAATTATTTATTTGTTGTTTATAAAAAAAAAAAAAAATCAGCACTTCAAATTTTTTTTCTGCACTTTTTTTTTTGTGTATTAAAAAAAAAATGCCAGATACTATTACTATACTTTGCTATATAACTAATCACTAATTATATCCTGGCAAAAATATGCATATAGTTGATATTTCAGTATTCATAAACTCTCAAAGCTTAAGGGAAGAGGATACATAGATCATTTATCATATGTTTTTTATAGTACACGTGATTTTTATAAAAAATAAAATATGCTACTAATAAAACTTTTTACTGTTTTAATTAATTTTTGTAAAATTTTTA